GAAAGAAACCTTTCAAAGTGTATATTATGCAAAAAAGTTCTAAGTACAAAAGCCACGGAGGTGCCTATTTATAGTGTTGATAGGCACCATATGAGGAGTTTTTACAATTAAAATAAAACAATCACCTAAATGCAATTTAATTCAATTAAATGACTTGTCATTCTTCTTATCCTTTGATGGCTGGCCATGTAGATTGAAAATGGATGAATTAAGCTTTAATTTGAGATAATTCCAGCCTTAAATTCGTCCAAAAAGGAGGGGTGACTCTTGGGCTACCTTGCTTTGCTTGCAAATGGAAGAAAAGAGGATAAATGAAGTCATAAGATGAACATGGACATCCTACATGTCAAAATCAGCTTATCTCTTCAAATTCCTTGATGATTTTATCACTTAATTTAGTGATTAAATGAAATAAAATCAGCCTTCATTGCTTGTTCCCTTATAGAATATGATCAGCCTTCAAAAAAATGATAAAGACCTTGAATGATAAGTTTTCAATGCTGGTTATTGCATATCCCATTGCTTGAACATGAATGATCTTCAATGGGTGATAGCATCAATCTTGAATGCCTTGAATTGGTGAATTAAGATGACCTTAAATGGCTTGTCTCTTGGTAGAAGATGAAAGGAATGTTTCTTGGCTCAAACTGATCCAAATCATCATTGTATAAAATTCTCGTAATGAAAATTCCAGCCTGCACTATCTTCAGTAAATTGATCATATCTCAAGCTCCTAATATTGGATTGAGGTGATTCAAAAGGCGTTGAAAATATAAAACGATAGATGAATAATTTCCAATTGATTTATAGACCCAAAAATATCTATATCACATCCAGAATTAGAATACATTCTGACTGATATTCTTGTATCTGTTGAAATCATTCAACTTCTCTCATGCACCTAGACACAAAGGTGAACTTTATTCAATCTTTAATTGAAAACATGCATTAAATAATTAAGAGTTAGTCTAATAAATGAACTAGTTTAATTAATGAACTAACTTTATTCAATGAACTAGATGCATGAATGAAGTAGCTTACTAAATGATCTAAATATGCATATATGAACTACTTCCCTAAATGAACTAGATGATTTAAATGCAATGCATGTTTAAATGAAAAGCAAACTTATTAAATGCAATGAATGTTATGTAACTAATAAAACTCATGCAAATATATGCAATGAATGATATCATATGATAAGCATATCCTGAGAGGTAAATACAAACATATGATAAAATATAGTGCATAAATAAGCATGTATAGGATAAAGTAAGGTAGAACACCCTTTGAATCAGCCTTGGTAAACTTCAATGATTTAATAAGATCAAGAAAAAAGTTAGGGCTGATCCGGATCACATCACTATTAATAGGGCAAAGATAGACTGTGTGTTTGTCGATGAAACATTTGGGGTCTTACTGGTGTCTGGAGTGGCTACTAGAGACTGATGGGGGCTCAAAGGGGACCATTGTTACACGAGATGGTTACTGGGGGGACCAAAACTTGGTTCTGATGTGGATGATGAAAGGCCAATAGTTGGTGGCAACATAAATCCTTGATGAGAACTAGGGTTTCTCAAATCGTTAACATTCTAGGCCAATTAGGTTGTTTTGACTTTGGGTTAATGTAGTAGGTCAAATTTTGATTTAAGGTTAAATGTTATTGTGTCTTGGTTAATTTGGATTTTAATTGGATTTGCAAGGGGCTGTTTGTTTACTTCAGAATGATTAAGCGCTGAATGATTTAAATGATTAATGATTCAGAGGTTGTGTATGAATTAGCTCTGAATGTGACATGTTGTTTGACAATGGCTCTGAATCATTCAGAATGTACTTCTGTGCTGAATCATTCAACATTGTTTTGCTGAATCAGTCAGCACTGAATCATGCAGAGGTGCGAAACAAACGCGCTGAATGATGAACGATTCAGCATTCAGCGCTGAATGGTTCCATTAAGAGGCAAACAAACAACCCCTAAGTGTGTAGATTTTTGTATTTGTATAATGGATTGTTATTTTTTTGGTTTAGTGAAAAATTGCTCTAGATGATTATGATCATGATAATATGTTTGATATTATAATTGGTATAGATAAACTTGTATGATAGATAAGATAATGATGATGATGGTTATGAAATGATCATGTTTTATGATGATTGGTATGTAAAATATAAGGTAGTTGCCATATTTTTGTTGGCATGAAACTATTATCATGATAAAGCATGTATTTGATTTTATGTTCGTTGATAAATGTAAGTTGTTGAGTAATTAAGTTTTGATTTAACCGGTGTAAGTCTAATGAAAAACCTGAAAATCGGTTTAGGAAACAATTTTTAGTTTGCAGCTTGATTTTTCATATAGAAACTCGATTTTTAGGTTTTAACTTGATTTTTCACATAGAAACCAGATTTTTGGTTTCAACATGATTTTTCATATGGAAACCAAATTTAGGATGCAAACCTTATTTTTGTATAAAAACCAAAATTCCTGTTGGAATATATTTTTTAGATAATTTTCAAGTAAGTCCCTATTATTTTAATATTTGATATTATTTAGACTTAGACCCTTACATTTTGGAAGTTTCAATGTGGTCTTTAACTAAGATAACACTTTTGAAATTATTAAGAATAGTGATAATCAACATGTGTGAAATGAAGAGAATTTTATTTATAGTTTATACTCAATAAATGATCATATGTTCCAAATTGTGTTGTTGGATCCTTTTAAATTTTAGATAAATTCAATATGGTTCATGTTGTAAAGTTAAGTTTGAATTCAAGCCATGGTGAGATATTGATTAGCTAACAAATGATAAATCCGATGAAATGATTTGAATTGTGGTGCTTGATTTTGTTTCGATGATAGAAATTTGATATTACCTATGTTTTTTAATTATTTAATTTTGGTTTAAATTTTCGTTAACATCTCTACCCAAATTTCATCTAAATCGGGTAGAGGATGTTACAAAAATATTTCATAAACAAAACAAAATTGTAAAAATAATTGGACGAGTAAATACGTAATTTATCTTAAAAATTATTTCCTCCATGACCAATCCTATCCTTCATATGGACTTACACGGTGGTTGGGATAAAGATGCATTCTATTGTGATATCAGGTGAAATTGGCCCAATATTGCATTTATAAAAAAAAGGTTCTTGGGCACATGGACTTTTAATTTGGGATCTACGATATTTGCTATAGTATTTAACGAACTCATCATGTCGAGGTGATGAGTTTGCCTAAATAATATTTTTTATTCAAACTCTTCATCTCGAGGTGACGAGTTCCAATAAAATATATTTTTTATTAATTTTTATCACATGGGGTAAAAAATTTAAATTTTTTTATTGGAACTCGTCATTTACGTAGATCCAAAATTAATAGCCAAACTACCCTAATTTTATGGAAAGTGGATAAACGACCGAGGGATTTTGCTAGCTCTCATGTACGTATTAAGAAACCTCGATATTAGAAAACCCTTCAATATTATATCAATCAACCTATTAGGAAGAATTTTGTTCTGAAACTGCAATCGATGGTGAGATCATCCCCTCAACTTATTTCTATGGAAAGTACTGGTGGTTCAGGTTAAGTTTCTCAATCTCTTTTATGTAATTTTTGTTAGAAACGACATTCAGGCGAGTGTCGACATCGATCTAGGTCATGTTTTCTTTGTGGCGAGAAAGGTCACTTCGGGATTGTCCAAAATAGTCCAATAAGGTTTTAAGCTCAACACCTAAGGCTCCAATATCAGTTCAGTCTTCTAGGGGTCGAGGATCCAATAAAACTCAGTTTAGTGCATTCGGATGACCTCGTGGTTAATCTTCACAATTACTCAACAACAATCTAAAACCCAGTTCATGTGTATAATGTTTGAGCCTGAGAAGATGAAAATGCTCCTAAACTAACTAAATATGAGATCCTAGCAACAAATCCTTTAGGAGATAGTGTTATAGTCAATCAAGTTTGTAAGATGTCCATTGATGATTCAAGGGACTCAATTTTCTATTGATCCCGTGTAATTGTCTTTTCATGAATTTAAAATCATTTTAGGGATCGATTGGTTAGGATAACATCAAGCATGGGTCGATTATGAGAAGAAAAGGTTGTTTCTGCTTGGCTTAGGGGTAAAATACTATCATTGTGACGAGTGAGAGGAATAATGGTCCAACCTTTACAATTTTAGTTATTAAGATTGATAAGACGATTTGTTAGGGATGTGAAGGATTCTTAGCTTACATCATTGATACGATAAAATCTTAGCCTAATTTGGAATCGATTCCAATTGTCTGTGAAAATCCGGATCTGTTTCCAAAAGAATTACTTGGGCTTCATCCTGTCCGTGAAGTAGAATTTGGGATAGAGGTGCAACCGGGGACTACACCATTCTCTATTTCTCCTTATAGAATGGCTCTGGTTGAACTTAAGTTGTTAAAGGCTCAACTTCAAGAACTTTTGGATCAAGGCTTTATACGACCTAGCATATCACCATGGGGTGCTCCATTTCTCTTTGTGGAAAAGAAAAATGGATCAATGAGACTTTGTATCGATTACTATCAACTTAATAAGCTCACAATCAAGAATAAGAATCCCCTACCAAGAATCGATGATTTGTTTAACCAACTTAGAGGTACTTCGTGTAGATGCTCGATTTGTCCGGGGCGTTATTTAATTTTAATTGGGTTTTACTATTATCGTTATTAGGGTTATTAGCATAAGTTTGGTATTTGTTAGTTATTAACATGAAAATATATGACATAAAATTGCAATAAAAAATAATAATAATTTAGAACATGGACTAAGTATATTTTATTTTTACTATTACAGGGCCTACACCAGAGTTACAACTAAAACGGGCCAGACCAAACAGGCCCAAGTATAAGAGAACCCTAAAACCCGTTAGGGTTTCCAGCTTCTGGTTCCAGCCGCCGCTCACCCTGGACTGTTGGATCTGCTCCTAATCCAACGATCCAGATTAAAGGACCATTAGGGTTTTTACCCTATGCCCAGCGCCGCCTTCCACGTCCAGAATGAGCCTCTGTCGACCATTCGTCTCCACCAGTCAGCTTCCACCGACTGCGCAGACTCACAGAGTCCTCCCTGAAGCCCGTGACCAGCTCGCACCCGTGACCTGCAAGCACACCAAACAAGAGACAGAGCACAAAGACAAAAACAAAACAAAACGCAAGAAAAGAGGGTCTTTTTATCAACAGTTATCATCAAAAGGGGGAGTCATCAGCAAAGGAAGGAGAAACGAACTAAAAAGCAAACTACCAGCCATCAACAACGGAAAAAAACAGGAATAGAGACCAAGCAACCATCCAAGAAGAAAACACAAAAATTAGAACGACCCGTACCTTTCTCGTCTGTAAAGACCCTCGTCGCCCTCATTAGGAGGCAGTGTCTCGTCGAATCGAATGTAAACCATTCACCCTTCGTTGTTTTTTGGTTGGTTTAAGTGTGCATGTGCGTTTTGGGTTTGGAGTTGTAAGCTGAAGGGGTAGATTGGGGTTAGGCCATCGTTCTTGGGTTAGGTTCTAGGTAGGTTTCTGGTCAAGGTTGCTCATCGGAGTCCTCCGGGAGGTAAGAGGTCACGGTGGCCGTAGTGTTGTGAGGTTACTAGAGGGTGAAGCCGGTTGGGTTTTCAAGTTTAGTTTGGGTTTAGGTCGCCGGTTTAGGTTAGTATTTGAAGGGGTTGTCGTCGGAGGGAGTTTAGTGGACGTCTTGGCTCCTCATCAGAGCCATTAGACGGCGATGGCCACGGCGTTGGCTATGCTTCGTCTGGGGTTTGAAGGTTGAAGAAGGAGAGATTGAGAGGAAATCAGAGAAGAGCGGCGGGTATGTTTGGAGGATGAGGGGTTGAAGTGATTTAGGGTTTCAGATTTTACCCTAATAACCTATATAACAGAACGCCAGAACGGCGTCGTTTCGTTTAGGTCCAAAACGGTAGCGTTTTGATAGCTGAGGGGAAAACTGTACGTTTTAGGAAAAGGGGTTAATGTCTGGCGTGGCCATCCCAACCTTGTTTCATTTCGATTTGGTCCCTATATTGAACTTTATTATCTTTTGATTTTGTTGCATGATTTTCAGCGTTTTTCATTATAGTCCAAATTCATATTGGGGCCATTTTTGTGTTGTTTTTACATTGGATGCATAGTTTTAGAAACTTGCATTTTGATCCTATGTAGTATTTTGGTTGTATCATGTTTGGACTGCCCAGAAATGAAAATGTTATGAAAAGAGCCTGTCTTTTGTGTTCTTTACATTTTAGCCCCTTTGTTTAATATTTTATCCATGTTCGTAAGTTTAATTTATATTTATTTTAAATGTATGCATGTATAGTATTCCGTGTATGTTGTTAGTACACTTTTGTTTAGTTGTTTTTTTTTTAAAAAAAGCATGTTAATCTCGTGTGCATAACTCGATCTAATCACATAATCGGAATTAAGGGTAATGCCCTTTTAATCTAAAATTATCAGAATGGCTTTTCTTAACTTACAGGAAAGTTGTTTTGACGATTTTAAATTAAAATGGTATCCCGTCAGTAACGCCTAATTAAATTTGGATATATCATTGTAAAATTTGGGAGCGAAAGAAAAGGAAATATTCGACTATTTAAACTTTTCGAGTAAAGGTTGTTAGAACTGAACTAAAGATCTGGTCTCGATATTTTTAAATAATCGAATATTCTTTATCTTTCTAATGACTTGGTAATTTTAAATTAAATCTATTTTGTTGCTTTGAATGTTGCAAATTTGCATGTTTGTTGTTTAAAGGGATCATTAATCAAATTAAATTTGAACTTGTGAAATTCGTTGCAAAGAAATTAATTAATCAACTAGGTACCGATTTAGGGCGTTGTGGGGGTGCTAATCCTTCCCCACGCGTAACCAACTCCCGAACTTGGATTTTGGTAACGTAGACCGTAAATTTGTCGTTTTAATTAAAATTAATTTTTATTTAAAATGACAATGTTTTTGGGTGCCCAATCACACCCTAATCAAAGATTGGTGGCGACTCCTCGAACCTTATATTTTTATCGTAAAGGAATTTCCAATTTTTCGAAACGAGAGGTTTTCTAAAATCGCACTATTTTTAATTAAAAATCCAATTGAAAAGATAATAATTAAAAATGACGCAGTTTTCAAAAGTCCCGCCCCGGTTACAAAAATCGTTTCGACAACTTGGCGACTCCGCTGGGGACTTTTTAGAGAGTCAGGCCTATAGTCGATTAATTAATTGTCTTTGCAAACGAAAGTTATAAGTTCGCTTTGATTTGGTTCTTGATCCCTTATTTGTTTGAATTGTTTTGTGTGCATCTTAATTTGTAATTTGGGTTAATGAGTAAATAGTTGTACTAATGTGTGATCTACATGTTTTCAGTTTTCTGACTTTCACTTTAGTCTATTGTTTCTCTTGGATCGAGGCAAAGGATTATGAGTTTCCCCACTGTTGCTGTAAACCTTTAATATTTAGGCCACTCTAACTATGCTCTGTCCCGTTAGGTAGGGGTGAAAGCTACGCTTACGTGAGAAAAATTACTTTTCTCCGCATGGGCTTTAGCTAGTAACCTCTGGGGTACATGCCTTATGTTTACGAGTGAAACATTGAGTTTCCTCGCATGGACATAGGGAAATGTATCCTCTCGAAATTGAACTTGATCCGTTTTAAGCCTATAATGGGCGAGGATCGAGGGTCTGGCAAGCCCAAGGGGGCACCAGCAAAGGACAATTTGAGGACCCTTTTAGAAATACTGAAACTCTGCCCATCTTATGTTGAATCTCTGTCCGCAGACACAAAGGGGAAACTCATTCTAACTTTTCCCTCGAATTTATTTTTTGCAAAAAGTATGCGAACTAGAGATCATGTGGTTAGGTTTATTTTTCGAACAGGCATGTGAATTAGATACCATGCGGTTAGGAGTTTTTATGAGTAACAAAGCATGTGGGTAAATATCATGTTGGGTAGGATCTACTAAAGCATGATTCGGTAGATGCCATGTCGGGTAGATACCATGTGAATAAGGTTTAGGATGTATATATTTTCTATCGTCATGTTGTTTGTTTATTCTTTGACTATTCATTGTATATACTAACACAATTTTATTTTTGTTTGTGTTTTATGTTTTATTTATTATTGCTGCATTGCATCATCATTCATGAAGAAAGGTGTTGATTCACAAGGTGGTTATAAAAGTAGAAGGCAGTCATAAAATGGACAAGAGCTTTCATAACAAGGAAATGGATAACGCGGAAGTGAGGTCATGGTCCGAAGAAACTCAGAGGAAGAAAGGCGACAGTTTGAATGAAGATTACATATCAGTACTACCAGAGGTTGCTCCGGTCAGTCTAAAGCAAAACGATTTGCAAGAGTTACGCGAAATTTGGGAAATTGGAATTCTGATGTGAAATACTCTTTCTGGCAAAAGTATGGTGACATCGCCCTTCTGTTGTACGTGAAAGTAAACGAACCCCTAATCAAAGCTCTCATCCAGTTTTGGAATCCCGCATATAGCTGCTTCACTTTCAACAAGGAAGACATGACTCCCACGTTAGAAGAATACACCTCCTTGTTTCATTTCGAGACGATACACTTGGACCGAATCTACTCAAAAGCCTCAAGAACACAATCCTTTAAGAGCAAGCTCGCAAGGATTACTGGGATGGGGGAGAAGTGGGTTGCTGATCGAATCCAAAAGAAGGGAGAATCCAATTGCTTCCCTTGGTCATGCCTCAAGGAGCTTATCGTCAAGCATAGCGATATCGAGAAGAGCATGGAGATGTTCGCCTTGGGAATTTATGGTTTGATGATTTTCCCGAAAGTTCTTTATCACGTGGAAGCCGCAGTGGTCGATTTATTCGAGCGTTTGGAAAGGAAGGTAAACCCTGTTCCTATGGTTTTGGCCGAAACATTCAGAGCACTTAACAGTTGTAGAAGAGCTGAGAGTAGCCGCTTCACCGGGTGTGTCCAGTTGCTTACTGTTTGGATACGCAGTCACTTCTGGAAAATTGACTGAGAGTATAGTCGACGGTTTTCTACGGCCTATTCACCCTTAAAAGATTTCCTCACTAAAGAGTGGCCAGAGCATCTCACCAGGAAGGATTGGGTTTCACTCTTCAGAAATTTACAGGAGCATAATATAGTGTGGCGTGTCCCCTGGTTAGCTTTTGTGGATGTGTTGTACAAATGCGGGGATTTTGATTGGGTAACCCTATTAGGGTTATGGGGTAGAGTAGGCTATGCGCCACTGATGGTACTGAGGCAATTTGGGGCACGCCAATTCGTCCCAGCTACATCCGGTCTGAAGGCATCTGAATTTGTGTACTGTGGAGATCACTATAAGAAGACTGCTCGTGCAATGTCAGAGGCTTGGAAGTCAACCTTTAGAACTGATTTCATAGCAGCTGAGGTCATGCTGACGCCAGATTATGTGGCATGGAGGGCGGTGCGAAAGAATGATATCCTTCCGTTGGCGGATCGTGACCAAACAATTCCTTTGGAAGCACAGTTTAAATACGTACCGTCTAAGTTGGAGATACTGAAGAGTGAATTCGAAGCGGAAATCGCCAGGAATGAAGCAGAGTGTGAGGCCCTTAGACAAAAGAATTTCATGTTGGACATCGATAGGGGGTTCTATAATACACAGTTTGAGCTTATGCGCAGAAGAAAGGATGAAGTGGAGGCCAATCTCACTAGTTTACAGAGCGATTACCAAAAGATGAGTCGAGCACGGGCAATTGCTGGCCTCGGGAGAACTTCAGAGCAGTGGCGGTTAGAGCTCCGGGCTGAGAGGGATAGTCGAGTTAGAGACGTCAGAGCTGAGAGAGAGCACCGAGTCAGAGAGGCAGAGACAGAGAAGAAGAAAAGAAATCAAGAACTTGAGTCCGAGAGAAGGTCTTGGGTTAGGGCACTGAAGAGCGAAAGGACAGAGGCTAAAGAGTTAAGACAAAGGTACACCTTGAGAAAGAAGCGAGAAGAAGAATTGCATGCTGATATTAAAGAACTCAGAATGAAGGCAAATAACATGCAACTTGAACTTGAGGTTAGAAAGCAAAGAATTGACGAGCTCGAAACTGAGAAGAGGCAAAGCAAAGAAGAGCTAAAATTAGAAAGGCAACATCGGGAGAGTGTGCTCCAAGGCAAACAGGATGAAGTATTCCTCTGGATACAGAGGTGCGGAGCAAAGAACGAACGGATAGAGGTACTCAATCAAGATATGCATGAAATGGAATCAAGGCATGAGGAAGAGTTAGCTCGAGCCAAGGCAAAGAATGAAGAGTACAGTGCCTACGTTATGCAGCTTGAAAGTTCCTTATCTGCAGAAAACAGTCAGCGTTGCCCAGTGGATCAAAGGGTTAGCCTCGAGGAGAACGCTGCTTTGCAAAAGAAGATTCATGATTTAGAGGCTGCCTTACGAAGCTGCCAGAC